ACCTGCTTCAATAAAATTGTTCGTAGGATCGGAAGAGTTTGCGGACATTTTTCTTTTTTTTAAAACATAGTAGGCCCAAACAATGAATCCCTAACTTGATATGAACAATCTTGAGAAAATAGATACAAAATATGTAAAAGACATTTGAATTAAAGAGCCCATATTCTGTCCTTTTTGGGGTTTGTATATTTAATCTATGTTCCTACTTTTGTACGTTCACAATAGATAAAGTCATAAAAAAGTGTCTGTTTTCATGAACTGCTCCTCCTTGCTCCCTCTACGCTCTGAGTCCGTCAGCTACACTCTGTTGAGCCCACACTGTTAGACCCCACGTGGGCCAAGTCTGCTCTGATTGGTCTGCCAATCCGCTCTGTTGTTATTGGTCAGTTGCTCAGCACGCGTCTCGGAAAGTTCAACATGAGCTGCAGGGCTTGCCACAACGAGCCAATGGGCTTAGATCAGTGATCTCACACTGACAATGACGCAGCACTGACAAATTTTTATCGAGGGGGGCTAGAACCGAGTGTTACATGCAGCTAATGCTACAGCTAACAGGAGGACGTAGGAGAAGCCGCGTTTCCACGGACTTTGAATTTTTGCACATTCATGCACAAACATGCACAGGACACTTGGAAAACACACTAAAGAGCATATAAAACCAGAAAAAGCAGAATACGGGACCTTTAAATAGCCGAGGGCATAACGAACATTATCAACGCTTTACTGGTTTGAGTTATGGTGGATTTGGTGCCACCTGGGGTAAGCTGTTGTAACTGCAGGTGCATTTTAGAGTTCAGTCCAAAATCAACTTCTGTATGCAGCAAGGTGGCCGTTCTGTCAAAACATCCTACACCAAGATGAATCATCTTACAAAAGAAATCTAAATGCATCACAACTCAGCTGAACACACTCAGTGATGTTGCTGCTACACCCTCACCTGGATCTCACTTTACAGCTCACTAGTTAAAGTTTTCTGGAAGGTGTTTAAGGTACTAATTGAATTGTACAGACTTTATTGCTCATGTTGGATAATGTTTGATGAGTATTTCTGTATATTCAACAGGGAAGGTGTACTGCATTGATGCAACTCTCAACATGTGACCCTGTCAACGGCTTTCAGCTTAATGCTAACTTTTTGAAGCATTTAGCCAGAAAACGCACACACGCTAATTTGACCCTCTGCATCAGGTAGAGTTTGTACAAACCTCAGTGTTTGTCTTTTAAACAGTTAATGCAATTATGATTTATTTATTCATTTAGATTTATTTTGGGGGACATGCCTTTATGTAGAAAGGTCCGTGAATAGAGTGGGAAATCAGAAGAGTGGGACGGGAATGTCATGCTGGAAAAGGAGCTAAAGGTCAGATTTGAACCTGGGCCGACCACTTGGAGGACCGTAGCCTCTGTTCCTGGGGCGCAACCTAACCGCTAGGCCATCAGCATTTCTAAATGTGTTTTTTACGGGGGTAAGAAACTCAGGTCACCTGCCCCACATGAACATTACAAATAACTCTTAAGTTAATAAAAGTCACAATCACAAAGATTACAGACATCTAAATTCAGGTAGCACTGATTCTCTATTTTCATCAGCTTCTTATGTTGCCTTGGAGATGATTAATGCACGTCAAGTATCTACTTGTCTTAAAGATGTTTTTATGTATACATATCTGGCTCTTTAGCTGCTACGCTAGCTGCCTACTGGGGGTTTATGAGAGGATTTTCACTCTGCCTGCTGCTGCTCATAAGATTGTAAGACATGAGGTTTCACATTGTGCGATAGACAGAATCAAAACAGGATGTTTAAGTGTTCATTTGTGTCCTTGTTAAACCTTGAGTCTTAAGCATCTTTGTAGGAATACTTAGCCACTGACGTGTAACAAAGAGTCTCTAACTTCCTGAGTAACCAGGGGGATCAGCTTCCAGAAAGTCTTCTCTTGTGACAGCGGAAGTGCTCAGACTCTGCCTTGACCTGTAATCCACCATCTGGCCCGCATGAATTAAAATAAAGGAAAGAACAGGAAGAGACGTTGCAGCAGGCAGGAGCTCAGCTGCTCGGCTCCCAGATGAAGGGGGGGGGGGGTAAAGTAGGGTACGAGAAGTAGGCTATGCCCTGCCACAGCCTTATGCACACATAAACACAGATCGCTACGCTCCTTTTCTCTCCCCCCCCCTTGCTCCTGCAAGTGGGTCACACCAGTGGGCACAAAGTTTGTCCTTCAGGCAAGGAGATGGAGTTCAAGGTCAGTGTTGTTCACGTCTCAATGTGAGGTCCGGAGAACGCTGCAGTCAAAGCAACCAAAAACGACTCTCAGCTGGAGTCCAAGTTTGAACGACAAACGCCATCAATCAGCCGCCCTGAGGCCACCAGTGCTGGGATAAAGAGGCAGGCTGCAAATCACCTCTATGAGTGCCACCATTAACACTTCCTCTTTATAAGCTAGAGGGAGGGGGGGGGGACAAACATGACTCAGCCCCCTTTTGGAGGGAGTTGATTTACAGGCCAAAGCAGTGAAATGACGACTCCGTTTGCTTCCTTTTTCTTGTCTGCCAGCGGAAAACCAAGAGGGGATTCAAGTCAAATTCCAGTTAAAACAAGAAATTTGCACGTGGCTTTGCAGCGTTATTGGGTACACATGTCTGGTGGTTTCTGGTTTGGTTTATCCTCTTTAGTTTAGATTCCTTGAGAGGGACAGAAAACTGTTACGGCCAATTTCTAATGAGCGTTGAAAGTGGCTCCTCAGAAGCCACACTTCAGTTTTATCTGTATCTGTTGCGGTTGCCACGCCGGTGGTCGTCCATCACAGGCCGAGCCGCCACCTCTCCGCGGCCCGTCAGCCTGCTTCCTTTTATATTTTCATAACAACGCCTCACATCTGGGACCGCGAGCGGACAGAAAGCTAGGCCATCCATCAACGTCTTCGCAGCCTCTGCGTGGGGGACATCACTCCCTCTGGACACGCTGCAGCTAAAACCGGCCTCCACCAGGCGCGGCCCTTTTGGACTCCTCGCTTCCAAAGTAATCCGCTCTGGCACAAAGCAATCCACGAACACCTCCAAAATAAAAAAACTGGTGCAAAGGTTTAGCACCCAGCAGGGGGGGGGGGGGAGCGGTTCATCAGTTTTTAGACACAAATGAAGAGAAAGGAGAGAGAGAAATGTTTGTGGGTTGAAATAACCACTCCTGGTGAGTCCACTCTTAAATCCACAGAAAATCAGATGGCTTTGTTGAGTTGGCAGGAACCTGACTTAGCCACACTCTGATTTACTGTATAATGTGCCAAAGAGATTAGGGTTACGCCTCCAGTTTTGGAATTACAGCAAAGCCCCTATCCATGATTAAAATCTGCTGCTGACTCCCACACAGCAGGAATGTGTAAACATCCACACAGAGTGGGATGCACGCTTCCCCCGGAGTACCAAAAGGCTGCAGCCAAGTCTTTAAGACAATTAAGCCTGGACCAGAATGGCAAGAGACCGAGAAAACACTTCCAGTGTGAGATGTCAAAGTGACAAGAGTTAAAACAGAAACTTTATGAAAGAAGATTTCTGCATAAAATCAAACTTAAAGAGGACATATTATCCCGCTTTTCCACCTTTTCAAACAGCCCCCTGTGGTCTAAATGAAACATCTGTGCTGTGCTTTGGTCAAAATATAACATGAATCAAGCACCAGAGGAGGTTTGTGACCCTGTATAAACCAGCTCTCTCAGAACGCTCCGTTTTGGTGTGTGTGTCTCTTTAAATGTAATGAGCCCCCCTCCCTGAGTTTTCCTGATAGACATCACTCCTCTGTAGCGAGAATAAAAATGGCGGACCTGCTTAAAAGTTTTGCTCTAAGCTGGGGGTGGAGTCCATGGGTGGAGATATCAGGGGAGGGGAGAGGATTTTTTTTTACCAGAATCCCACTGTGACATCACAAGGAGAGTGCATTTGAAAAGGAGCATTTTTCTCTGTGTTGTAAGACTTATGCAGACCACAAACAAAGGACTGGATGGTTTTTTTATTTCACATTTTTGTGGGTCAGTAGACACTCAGGTTACCCAAAAATATGTTCAAAAACACTGTAGAAGTGGATTTTTCAAAATATGTCCCCTTTAAAGTTCTTGTTTTACATCAGGAAGTAGGGCAGGGAGATAACACGACCCTGTGTGACAGAGATAAAAATGTACATAAATAAAGTTGGCTTTAAATAGATCAAACAGCCTGACACACAACAGAACGATAAACATCAGCCAATTAGTGTGTGGGTTCATGCTGCACATGGAGGACACGCCCACCTTACTACAAAACATTTGAGCTGCACTGGTGAAAGTGGATTTCCTCTGCGCAAAAACAAGTGGAATCTACAGGAACACATGAAAGTAAACTCTCTCTATCTTTGTAAAATGAGGATATTGTTGACAAAAAATGGGAACATGGCGTCAATTATACGGACATGAGTGGCAGCTCAGCTCGTAGCCCCCTCACTGGACATCCTGGGGCCGCAGGAGAGCATTGATGAGACACAGATTCTTCAAACAAAACTGACCTATTACATGTTTTTTTAAAGGGTTTTAAATAACGGGTCTGTTTGTTTTAGGATGAAGAGACCTCTGCAAATGATTTGTCTCTCTACAAACTCTGTGAACGATGAAGACTAATTGATTCCTCATCCAAAAAAAACCAAACGTTTTTAAAAAATAAACGAGCTCTGCTGACCGCCCCCACTGGACATGCCCGGGTACACGGGAAAGCATTAGCGAGGCACTGATTTCCTCAACAAGGAACCGCTTGATCAGCATTTTCTTTAAATTATTTAGAAAAAAAGTCATTATCATATCACGTAAAGAAAAGTAAACAAGATCCACACAGCAAGAAGATCCTGTTTGAGTCTGAGGAAGGACTCAAACGGGATCTTCCTGGTGTGTGGATTTGGTTTATTTGTCTTCTACCTCTTTGTGTTTTTAGATCCAGCACCCACTGAGGGATGTGCGTGTCCTTTTTTTGATTTGTCATCATACCTGTCTTAGCTTCCGGAGGTCTTAGAGAAGCATGCGGTACGGGTCCGTCGAGCATCCCAGAGACTCACTCTGATGAACAGATCTTCACTCTCTCCCGGCCTCTCCGTCCTCGCCGACTGTGAAGGGTGACGAGTAGAAAAAGAAGGTGCACGTTGATGAATCAGCAGTTGAAAAAGCAGCGAGACTACTACCCCACTGTACATACAGAGTTGGGAAAAAACAAAAAAAACCTGAAGTGTGACAAGTGTGTTTATAGAAGTCGGAGAGAAAGAGGAAAATCTGAGTCATAACGGCAGAAGAAACCATCTCCACATGGGGAAAGGTTGAGACTGAGGGGATTTTCCATGTCAACAAGAAGGACGACTGAAACTAGCACCAATTTCTCTAAACAACTGTCCTCTAAGTAAAAAAAAAAAGTCTATAATCAAATGAGGTTTGAACACATACAGTTTGATCTGTGTTCGACGGATCCATTCAGACAAATGTAAATAAAACAGATTTGAATCGATATTCTGCCAGACATCCCAAAAAAGACAAAGAAGGTGAGAGGCACACTGCCACCATCTGGAGAGAAGCGAAGAGTCCATCTGCATTTCATTAAAAGTGATGTATTAGTGGTAAAGTAATGCATCAGAGTGGAGGCGAGGAGCATGAGAAAAGATTATGAAAAGAGCCAGAGGTGAGTCGAGCACACAGTCATTATCTCTGCCGGGATTTATTTTATAATCCGGCTGTCGTGAGAATGTTTAAGTTACATTTGTTACTGTCTTATACTGAAGCTTCTCATACTAACAGGAGACGGAATAATATGATGAGCAACATATGGTGCCGTCACAAGTGGACAGACAACTTTTACAAACTTCATTTATTCAGGTTTCAGTCGCCCGCTTTTCCAGGCCAACTTTTCAAGGTGTCCTTTCCTCACTGAATTTCATAAATACCTGCAGAACAGAGGCATGGGACTAATTGCTAGAGGAGCCTCGAGAGATCAAATTTCCAAGTCACGCTGCGCATGAATTATTCAGTTTCAAGAAACTTTAAGGACGGAATAATGTTTTTGTTTTTTTTTAAATGGGTTTGCAACACAATTAACTTGAGACGGTTGAACTGAGACAAGGGGAGCGTTGTTAGGTTAGCGGTTATGTCGCACACACCACGTACAGAGGTTATAGTCCTAGTTGAAGTTGCTGTGGGTTCAAATCCGCCATCTGCCATCAGCTGCACGTCAACCACATCTCTCTCCTCCCTACATTTCCTGTCTCTCTTCAGATGTCTAATAAAGTCAAAAAGGCCCAAAAGGTAACTTTAAAAAAACTCAAATATTTAACCTTGAGTTCACCTCCAGACATTAAAATAAAAGTGATATCTCCAAATTGTTTCCTTTGTCCAAACAACAGTCCCAAACCTCAGGACTCTTCTACTATTAAAGATGTTCAGGAGAGATTCTCTTAAAAACTGCAACCAGCAAATATCTGACAGTTTGTGATTTCAAATTTGAACAGCAAAGGAAAACAATTATCAGCTCTCCAAAAGAAAAGAGTTCTCTTAGTGATTTGGATTGTAACTTGACTAAACGATCAGGAAATATTAGGGCCGGGAGATATGGACCAAAACTCATATCTTGATATTGTTTAGCTGAATGGCGATACTCGATATATATCAATATGTATTTTATTAACAGTGAAAACACATGGAAAAATAAACTACCTGTTTGTGAATTTAAAAAGTAATATTATAAAATAAATGTTCCTTAAATACAATAAAAGAGAGAGAGAGAGGAGGAGCAGGGTTAAGAGGGACAGACAGTCATCATCAGTGAGATGAGGAAAAGGTGACCTGGCACCTCGAGAACGTTATTTTAATGTAACATAAACTATATCCATATTAACGATATTATCTTACCCTATATCTTGTTTGAAAATATATCAATATATCTAAAAAACTATATATATGATATATTACCCAGCCCTAGGATGTAACATGTCTCATTTTGGAACTGTGAACATCGGTGAACTGTGGAGGAAGCCCGCAGTGAGAGTAGGGGGGGGTCGTGATACTGATTATTGAGCGTCCTGTTTTATCAGCAGGATCAGGGATGTTTGCGCATCGTAACGATTTCTAACTGTCGGCAGAGTTTTTCTGTTACTGTGCCGGTTTAACGTGAAGCTGAGCTCCTCCATCTGCTCCTCACATACCGCAGTTACAGACAGATGGAAGATCTACCTCCATCCAGATGGCTTCATGTGTCACTGCAACAAAAGCAAACTCTATAGGTCGAGTCTGGCAGAGTAATAATACCTTAATAGTTGTTTGTTCTCGAGTCGGACAGTCAACCCTCAGATTATGAACAGGTGTTGACATAAGAGGGCCGCTCCTCTCACCTGCTATTACACTGAAGGGGGATAATCCTCATTAAAGGAGGACCAAACAGAAGGGGGGGGGGCAGGGGGGTGTAAGAGGTAACCATTGAAGGTTAAGACTTGTCGTCGGGAGTCGGAGCAGGTCACCTGATCCGTGTCCCACAGAGTAAGATTAATCCTCTGAATCTATCACAACACGTCTTTGTCACAGCTGTTAGTCATCACTTTAGAGTAGTGGTTACTTTAAAGGCTTTATATGCGATTTTTTTTTTGATCCAGCAGATGTCGCCCTTGAGCACCAGCATGAAACCAAAACAACTCGCGCTGCATTGTTGTGTTAGCATGCTAATGCTAGCGATCTTTATTATGCTGGTATCTTCACACTGCATGTAAATTTACCTGAAATGAGCGTGATCTAGAAACACAGTTAAGCAGTGAGTACAGTATGTTATTCTTCTTTTCTCTAGTCCCTCAATTAAACAACTTTTATACACGAGGGGAGGAGTCAGCCGGCCGTCCAGGCGATGTAAACAAAGTGAAGATAGGACTCTGAAAACTCTGAAAACATCACAGACAGTGGGCCTCGGGTGTTACACCCATTGTAGACAGTCATGACTCACAGAGTTATGTTCAGAGGATATACTTGATTTCTATTTAAGTGTGAAAAATCACATAAAAAGACTTTAATTATCAAAGAGAACAAATAATGAATGTCTAATTACAGGGATTGTTATGGTGACTGTAGACGACCTGAGGTTTCACAACACACAGGACACGTGCAGAGACGACCGAAAGACAAACAAAATACTTTTGTAATACGGAATACTTTTGGATACCTTTTTGGAAGGGGAGTGTTGAAGAGAAGACGAAATGAAGATAAATTAGGTTTGGTCTCTTCATGGCTTTCAGGCTCCCCACACACACACACACACACACACACACACACACACTCTCACTCTCACTGAAGCCAATGGCCTATTAAGGAACAGGGTGGCGGCCCACTTCCTCCCTATCAAAACACAGCCACCACACAGCCCTCAGGTTTATTATTCTTATGTTCAGCCGTTTGCCAAAGGTTGCAGACGAGTTAATAGAAACCCTGCAAGAGACGGTCGATCCAACACACCCTGAACAAAGGCCGCTCAGAAAAACAGGGAAGAGTTCCAGTTTTAAAAAGGGACATCAAGTAAACAGATGAGTTGAAAACAATGAACCCTGATAACTGTTTCTGTACCAAGTCATTCATTGTCTTCTTACAGATGCATGTTCCTATTTTTGGTGTAAATCATAAGAGTATAATGTCAAAAAAACAACTTCAGGAGATGTCTAGAAATGTGTTCAGGTAAACTAAACACCACAGCTTGTATTTTTAAAGTATATAAAACGACCAGACAATGGGTAGGGAGGCTTCTGGGGAAACTGGTTCAGACAGAGAGAACATGTCTCTTATGGAGAGAGCATCACATTCCATCTTAAAGAGCACAAACTCTCTGTTTTCTTTCCTCTGACGTTTTCGTTTAGGACCAAATCAGGCCAAACCTCAAACATCCACCCACATTACAAAAACTACCGAGAAAATAACTTCCTCCATTTCTTTAGTGTTGAGGATGAGGAGGAAACGAGGACCAGGAATGTGCAGCTGTAAAGAGAAGGTGTTTTCTGGAACAAATGTTAATAAATGTCTTTGTTATATAATTTACAGAGACAGCATTAATCCCCTGTGATCACAGCACTAAGCAACTTTAAGGAAAGTTACAGTGGGGAGGAAAACTTGTTTTTGACAGGCAGAAACGTCGAGCAGAACCAGACTTTTGTGTTTTTTTTAATCTGTAAATAAAGGGCAACCTTCATGTAAACTACGGCTGAGCGATATGACCTCAAATCAATATCACGACTAATTGAACATTTGACCTCGATGATCGATGATTTAGTTTTGTTTTTTTTGCCCTCGTAGTTCACTGACATGCTCTCTACTGTGAATATGATCAACTATTAAAGCTGGGATATTGTTTCTGATTTAAGAGTTCATTTCTGATCAACTATTTTGTGGTTATTTATTTGAATATTTGGAATTGAAATCAAAGCATCGCTTGAAAGGATAAGTAGAAATTCACTTCTCGAAAACAGTAGAAAATACATAACTTGAACTTCTTGCGAAAAGTTTTTCCGCAGTTTTTACATTTGACTTCTTTTTGTCCGGTGTCGTCTTCTCGAAAGACAAAATGTGTCCAAACGACGGACATTGCTTCCATGTCGCGGATTGGACGTGTCGTCAAGCATGGGCGGTTCTAGGCAGGGGCCAACAGGGGCCAGTGCCCCTGTAACACTGAGCTTGGTCCCCCTTGTGGCCACCCCTCCAAAAGGAAGAGCCCCCCTAATAACACATTAACACAGTATTTGACTCAACAACCGGACTCACAATCTAGTATTAAATACTGTTACTGAAACAAATTTAAATCATGGTATTTTATGATATGCGCTATTATATGGCATAATATTTATATATATTTAAAAGCGATTATCTTTGTCTATTTTTGACCTGGGTTTAATGTTCCCCTCTGACAAAACAACTGGCCCCAGTTTGCCCCCCTCAGTAAAAGTGAATATAAATAATAATAAATAATCTAAATAATCAACATGGGCAAGATTACGTCGGTTAGAGGTTCTGAATGTCAGCTTCGATGAATTTTTTATGAATTTCCCAGCCCTACTGTAAACTGTACACAGCAGGTTTGTCTGTCGACATAAAATAAGTG